CCTTTCCCCGAACTTCCACTTCCTTTCTTCAAAATATCGGTCTTCGCTTTTTCAGGAAAGGCGTGTAACAAATACAGACTATCTTATGAATCTTGTTGGAAGTAGGTGAGGCCTTGTGCGGAAGTAGATTACTGTAATCGATATATTGATTGGTTGTGCTCCATACAGCAAGGAAATCATAGATGGTATTAAGGTAATTTTGTACGACTACTCAAAGGCCAGCATTCATCCTCAATACTGCGATCGTTTTCAAAAACTACAAAGATAGAGGACGTTAATTCGCTAAAATAATCAAGAGCGGACAATTGTCACAAGCAATCCATGTGTGTGCATTGAAATTCGTACCAGCTGTCCATTTTCGGCAAGTAACTTTCTCTGCCCGATTCCTACTAACCCCGCATATACCAGCTTCTAATCTAACAAAAGCAATATTGTTAGTATTTAGAGGTGATAACTGTATGTAGCTTGCCTAAGGGATACTGTAGCTTTTCTCATCGAGACCGGTAAGGATGGAGACATTTGCTAGTGCATAAAGAGTAATGAGTATTCCATTGGTTCTAAGAATTTAGAACCGGACGCTTTTGATAAGAGAACAACCTTTTCCTCCCCCCCCCCCCCCCTTCCCTCCCCCCACCTCCTTTCCCCTTCCGTTCTTTTCCTTGCTGTTTTTTTTCTAAATTCAAAAAGTCTCAAAAACCAAAATAAGGGGATGACCAAATGTCAAAACAATCAAGTAATTTTGAATACAGAAATGTAGAATTGAAAATATAAATAATTAGGTTGTGAAATAGGAAGAAGCGAATGAAGAAAAGTCAATAAATGAAACTATCCTGTCTGTTCAGGACTTAAGCCCATCAAAGGTCTCAGCCTAATATTTGATAGAGAAAAGCTCGCAATGCGTCGGCTCGAACTAATTGAATATGGCCAAGAAGAGTGAGATTCATAGAGGGAATGGATTATCACGGAGATGCGGCGACGACGACGATGTTGAAAGAGCAAGAGGATGGGAATGGGGAAAAAATCCAGGCCTTATGGGGGCACTTGAGCGGCTTGTCTACGGGGGGGGGGGGGCAATCGAGGACTTCGCAGCCACTCGTTCAACTTCTCAGCACTTTAGAGCACTTAAAGTGCATTTTATAGCCGCCCGGGGTTGACATGAGATCTAGCCTGCTGACACGAGAGCACATTCATAGCATTTACAAGATGTGCAATTCGCGATGTAAGTACATATTTCTCCTTTTGCACGGGGGAGGGGGGGGAGGGGCAAGAAAAGAGGGCGATAAGACTTTTAGAAGGGCGTCGATTTGGCGACCGAGCAGCAGCCGAGCAGCCAAGCGCATGACCATGGCCAGCTGCTGTGCAATTTATTGAGCAAATAAATGGCTCGAGCAAAGAAAAAGGTGTGAGCGTGAGAAGATGCGTGCGAATGCGGCGCAAGAGCACAGAAAAACGCGCAAATTTCGAATGTGTTCGAAGGCATGCAAAATTTCCCCTCTTTTCCAACTTCCGTTCTTGCTAACGTAATGCTTTGCCAGTTACCAAGGTTAGAAAACAGCTTTTGGAAGGAAATTTAAATTAAATTTTTAAGCCTTTGATCTTTATTCACTTAAAAAAACTGATTCCAGAATAAGCCAAGAATCTATATAAGTTTCCCTCTTCAAACTAATTCGTCCATCTGATATACTGAAATAATGAGTGATTGTAAAATTATACTTAAATTATTTAGAAAATCATAAAAATAAGAAGTTTTTAGGTAACAGAAAACAGCGACTAATGTCAGTTAGTGCCAGGATGCGATCTTAGATGTCTGCGTCTCCTCAGTCCACATACTCTTCACGTGACTAAAAGGCGCCAGAACGCGTCGCAGTAGCGACGCAGCGTCTGCATTGTCTGCGTTGCGGATCTCGTTCAAGCGCCAATTTTTTCGTCAATTCATTATTTATGTAGGAATTTTTGAAAAAAAGAAAACTTAGAAGCAAAAGTTCAAAAATCAAAATCACGCTGAACTCATCAACGACTATTAGCACGATAAGTTAGTTCCAGCCTTCCCAAAACAAAATTTTTTCGCAACGAAGGTGATTTTTGAGCCAAAACAATATCGTAGTGCTCCTGGACTGCAAGAAAAGAGGTGCCCACAAACATAGTGAAGTGTATTGGTTTGCGAAAGAGCTACACATACACATCCGCTTGATTGGGTTCATTGCTACGGGGAATCGAGGGCGGGTCATCGACGACGGGGACTAGAGAATTACTCTCGACAAATTGCCAAAGAGACCCGTTTACGCGCTGTTTTACGCTCCATGAGGACGAGCATTCGTTAAGGAGACAACTCGTACTCGAATCAAGTGAGGAAGGAGTTCGGAGCAGTTCCGACGAACGGACCCGAGACTCAAAACAACGAGGACGACGAGCGTCGAATGTCGGAAATTCAAGAGACAGACTGGATTACACGAAGGGGGGGGGGGGGAGCGGAAAAGGCGAACGAACGGGCACGAGTCAGAGAGTTGAGAAGTGGATTAACCGCTGGCACACAACGAGCCGTTCCTCCTCGACGAGTGATGAGGGGATGAGAATCCTCGAGTTTTTTTTTAGTAGGGGAAGGGGACGATGGAGCGATGGCGCCCGAAAAATAATGGAAAGCAAAAATAGATCGTTATTTCAAAGACTATCATGAATGATGAATGAGACTTACAGGACACTGTAGGAGTACTGTAAGATTACACATGTAGAAGAGACTGAACTCAGTGCGTGAAGTAGTGCGCACAAGTTTCTTTAGGAAGGGGAGGGGGGGGGGGGGGGGAGGGGCAGGAATACCGTATCGAGGGGGCTTGAAAGTCGAGTTCATACGTAATCAAGATATTCTGCACGAAAAGTAGGTAAGAATCTAACTCCATTATTAGAAAAAAATTGAAAAATCAAAGAATTGAAAAGCTACATTTTAGGAAGAACTGAGGAGCATCTGTCAGAGCATGTTTTACTATCTATTTTATCTTGTTATTTTACTCATCTATTAAATTCATTCATTTATTATTATTCAACTGGTTTCACTTTATCATATCGTAAGCCTGTACCTACAATTATCTGCGATTGCACAAAAGTATACGGTAGGAAACAGCGAATTCGGCGCCTACTGAGAAAATTTGAGAAACCCTTTTCTGACTAGTACTAGTCCGCACAGATAATATTTCAGAAAGTATAAAAAAGCTGACTCGAACATTTTGTACGCATTTGGTGCAATTACACGCGATACAACAATCCACGTAATTAGAAGTGCCGCAATGCTTTTTCCTAGTCATTAATTTCACAGCTTTATTTGATGAATACCATATAATTACTTAGGTCCTAGTGAGCTGCGCTTGATTATGTAAACCTTATTCGGAACCTTCTTTGGCACATTGCCAAGACTCAAAAAGATTTTTTGTTCCACTTTACATATGCATGTTGCTACAGAGCAATTAGTTTGGTGAAGAGGAAAAAAAGCTTATTGTACTTTTTCTATGTCATTTACCCGGGAAGAATGGGTACCTCGGGCAGATATACAACATTTTGCAAGGGCTATAAAATTCTTGGCAACATTCCAAGACAGCCATAAGGGGACGACTTGAAGGATTCATGTAAGCCTAAGAACTGAGCAAAACCAAAAGCAGAGAGAGAACTACATTTTGAAAGGTGCGCTCTTTCCCAAAAATAGTATGAATTTTTCTGAAAAGACAACCAGACTGCTTTTTATACCAATTTTTGGAAGAACGGATGTTTTATGGGTACATAGATTACACCGAAATGGGGAGCCCAAGCCACGGGTCGGAAAAAAATTTCACGGCGATGAGGTTATGGAAAGGCTGAGTGCAGGAGCAGCGGATTTTCGTGACAGGTACAGCTTCAAGAGGGGGAGAGGTCGAAAAGGGGTGAAAAAATTCAGGCCAATGAGTGGTTGAACCCTGTGGACCTCGCAATTGGCAGTGTATGTAATTAGTGCAGTTTAATGATGGAAGAAAGGGACGAGAAAAAAATAAAAGCGTTACTCCAGAAATTAAAAAATGCTTTGATGAATTTTCCTCCTGCCCTCCCCCCCCCTAAAAAGGTAAATATTTATACATGTACATGGAACAGCTCGTGAGCAGCACATACACGCATATAGCCATCCGCTAACATGGCTCTAATGGCCGCCTGTTCAAGGGTGCAATTACGTCCGAACCCCATCATTTAGCGTACAACGCGCCGGGGCGATTTGTGCTGCTGATTTGGATCGTTTGTTTTAGTAGACACATCAATGCCCTTGTGTCAATGTGGAACAAAATTAGTGGGGCAGGAGGGGGAGTAAAAATGAGGCTTTTGGTAGAAGGAAAAGGAGCGATATTCCACGTTAAGACGATTGGGGGGCCTTATTTGACTTGCTATTCGAAAGGCAGCACATAAGATCCATTTGTTGCCGAGAAATTCAACTTTCAACTTTCGCCTAAACCGTACTTTTTCCAAGCAGACCAATCAGCGTCCCCGATACTACGGTACTGGGAAAAGCTCATTATCTCTTTTGTAAATGCTACCCCCACCATCTCCCATTTGTTCTGGATCTAAACCTTGCATTGTTTTACTTATCCATCATTTGTTGCTAAAAGATTCAAGGCTAAAACCTCACCCAGAACGTACTCTTTCCATGCTCGATCAGCGTTCCCGAAAGTACGGTACTGGGAAAAGCTCAACTTCCCTTTTAAAAACTTCTACTACTTATCATCTTTTTTGTATTCTGGCATTTGCACTGCATATTGCTCTCTGACAAAAATGTTGTCTAAGTCGGTTATTTACAACTATTTTGGCCCAGACCGTATCCATTCCAAGTGGACCCAGCGCCATGGTACTGGAGACTATTCATTTCTAAGTCCAATGCCATCCATCACCGTCCATTTTTCTCTGCGATTTGCGTTTTACATTGTTTGATATTTTGACATATTATCCATGCCGATTATTTCCTGAAAAGAAAATCCTACCAAAATTTTACCCACCTTGTGCATGTAGATCTAGAATCATATGTCCATTGTAGTTCACTCCCGAGATCTCTCCATCAAATGGGTCGACAAGCCTGATCGATTTCCGTCGTCGACTTCTGTTTGCAGAAATTCTAGAGCAGTTTTGGATAGTTGTGATATAACTACACAAGATTATTCTAATTGATTTCCAGGCTCTCCGTCAGAATAATTTCTGTTTTTGTTACAAGTGATGTCCACAACAAATCTTGATAAACAAAAAAGGACGCTTTTTAAACAAAATATTGTTTGCAGACTTCTTCACGCTCCTTTTGCACCGCTACAGTACACTACGTAATCTTGGAATAGGAGAGATTATGTAAAATCCGTAGGCAGAAATCGCTTCTCCTGATTTTCTAAGCACGAGTGGCATGCAATGTGGGGCCACAATGGCTATTTGCATTACGCATTACGGGCTCACGGTAGCATATTGTAGATGTGCAAAAGGGTCTTTTTATGATTCAAAAATGTAGGTATCTTTCTTACCTTTTGGTTTCGATATGACGAGAGTTCAAAGCAGCACCCAACGACACTCTCCATTGCATATTTAGAGTTACCAGGTCATCCGCTCCTAAAATCATGATTTTTAGCGGTAAGCGACACTTCTGCACAACCAGCTTAATACGGTAGGATGGCGTAAAATAGCGTCTCCCAGCAGGGCCCACGCGAGAGCGCAGGGCGGGTAGAATTGGTCGCTCGTCCTCTGCGTCCTTATCACCCCCCTTACCAAAAACGAGTGATGGCAGAGACGCAGAAAGCGAGTGACTGTGCGCCGTCCGGGTGGTCCCACAACGAATCACTACCGCCGTAGCACATTAAGGCGATCATTTAGGGTTTTTTTCTCGCAGAGCTACTATATTACATCTCCCCACATATTTAAATTTTTTTCGTTTTGGCAATATTTGACACCCACCTTTTGGCCTGTATCGAATCGGCGGTCGACCATCGATTTGCAACGTTACATTCGTCTCTACTCGATGAATTCTGTAAAATTTCGTGAACAACATTTTCAAAAATCCCACCTTCAAGTAACCCTACCTGACAGTATGCTTTTTGTTATCGTTGACTTTATGAGCAAAATGCCCAAAATGATGTTCTCGACTGCCAAGATTGTACTTTATTTGTAGAAAACCCTCCTCCTACAATAGAAACAAATAACTCTCTTAAAATTTGTGTTTAAGTCTATGTTAACTTACCAAATAGACAGTAAAATAATCTTGATCTACTGCACAATCGACAGATAACAGTACTCCAGAAGGTCTTGAGGTACGAAAGGCAAAAAGCATATAATCTCGAGATGTCGATGGTCGTTCGCCCATGGGATATTCGAAGAAAATCGAAGATGGAGCAGCAAAAGAGGCTGTGGTTGCTGCTGAAAAAATATTTCTAAAGTAGAAAATTTGCGCAGAAAATTTGAGCTTTTTTAGACTCGGCTTTGGCAGAAAATTTTTCTTGCAAAACCAAATCTTCTGATAAAAAAATTTTGGATCTAAAATCAGTCTCGAGCGGATTTAAGGGGCTATCCATGTGCTTGCTACATGGCCAAAAATATCATTTTGAATTCCTGCCCAGTACCGTGCTCTTCCCCAACAGCCAGTCAAGTGAGTACGGTATGGGCGGGAGATAAATCGGTGTGCCTTTGCAAATTCTAAGAAAGTCAGTAATTCTCAAGGTGTCCATTTCCCAGGAAATAAGATTCTTCACTTTTTGAAAGATGTTTCAAAACCTTACCTTCCTGACACCTATCTCCAGCATGGGCGGTTAAGGTACAGTCACATCGAATTGAATTCCACTGCTGTATACATCGCCCCCTATTCGAACATGCTCCGGGCGAACATCGAGCAAGCGGCCCTTGAATTACCGTATCTTTACCGTACCACATCGATCAATGGTGTCAAAACTACCTGAGCATCCCCGAACAACATCTTTCTTGTCCTCAGAATCATCATAAACATCGATGGCTTGATCGTTGAGCCGCACACCAGCCAGACATCCGCGGAAACCGCCTCGGACCAGCGGAGTTGATGGTGGAGCACCTCCTGGAAATGATTACGGTAAGCGCAGGGTTACGGTAAGCATACCCTACCTATAGTGACGATGCCACTGAGTTCTGGCGCTAGTTCGCTCTCGGTCACTACTGTAGTATTGTCGACGAGCAGCATATAGAGTGAGCTGCGTTCTTCCTGAAAAGTTTAGATAATTCTACCGTACACCTACCGCACCCTTACAGTATGTAACATTGATTTTATTATTCCGTTGACATTGTTAGTTATGGATATCTTATAAGTATATAATCAATGTATTCAGCTTCCTGTTTTCCAACCTGTTTTGTTCAAAAACGTATATGCCAATTAGAGGCCTTTCACAGGCGCGCCCTTTTCGCACCGCTACAGTATGCTATCGTGACTCAGGGGACTGATAAACTAGTAGGTAATGTTTATTCAGTTACGATATAAGTTATAGATAGATATTATAATTATGTGATTAATTCTGCCGTTTTCGCGAACGCGGCCCTTTTGCACCGCTACAGTATGCTGTCTTGACTCAGCGGACTGTTAGATCAGCATGTAACATAAAAGATTTTCAGTACCTGGTAGAAAAGCAGAGTGTGCCACCGCATATCGCTAAGATGTTGGTGACTTGGCAGTAAAGGAGACTTGACCACCATTTCTCCAGTTCTTGCTTTGTAAGTGATTCGTATCCTAAAAATTACACCATGAACCCTTAGACCGTTCATACTTTTCGCGCCAAATCGCGCCGCAAATGCACGCAATTTCAGTTAGAAACGAAAAATTAAAGTTTTTTAAGCATTGCATCATGAAGACAATAGACAAGAAATAGAATAGAATAGTAAAAAGGCGAAAATGTAAGCGCTATGTCCCTATGTTGCGCGCGGTCGCGATGCGATTTGGCGGGATAACGCTCCTCGCCAGGCTACTATAAACAGCTTACCTAGCTTGTACTAATTCGATCAATAACGAGGTGTTCTTCTCGGCAGAATATGAGGCAAGTAATAAGGCATTTCGAATGAGAGTTTGAAATTTGAAAGACACACGTAATGAACCCGTAAGTGATGAGGCCTAAAAATCACTTTTTTCATATCATAGAAAGTTTTTGGTCCAAGAGAAACTTACTATTCTTGGCGACAAAACTGCATAACCAGTTGTGTTCGTAAAAGAGACGGATGAGTGCTTAGGCCTGCTAAAAGTTTCGGGTTAATTGATTTTCGGGATTACTGTAGGATTACTGTATCTTGGAGAGGAGGGCTAAAACTCACATATTTCGTTGTCCTTTACCTTCTTTGCTCATTTTTCCTTCTTTCTTTAGTCGTTCGAGCAAATCAATCCCGTTGAACATCTCAAATAAAGTTCCTTTACAAAACTTAAGAAAAAAGATTAATGTCTACCATTCTCGATACTGAACCGCGAAATGGTTCTGCCAAAGTTCCATTTTCGCTTTGAAATCCAACACCGCCAGAGATTTCGTCGATTTTCAAGGGAATCGATGAGGGTAGGTAGTCTGTAGTTCCACCTACATAGAAATACCAAACTTATGAAATTATTTCTAGAACTCACTGTTCTGCTGCCATTTTCCATCCAGATATAGTAAGATCTTCTCTCCTCTTCGTTTCAAGCGCATAAAATGCCAGCGGTTATCGGAAACTCCTTTACCCCAACGAAAAGTCTAAAAAATGAGTTTTATAATCAAAAAATTGAAAAAAAAGGCAAAACGGCACTTAATGACGACCGCTTTGCACCGCCGCCTTACTGTAGCCTACTGTAGGATTTTCAGTGCAAGACCCACGCGAACGATGTAGGATAATGGACGTGTTCGTTGCTTGCCCTTTGCGTCTCTATCTTCCTTGTACGAGTTAACGTTTAAACTATGACAGACTGAACAGACGCGGATGCGCCCCTTGTCAGCCTACTTTTCTGCGTGCGCATGGGTCCCGCACCGAAACGCAACCATATCATAGAACTATAGTCCTCTGACTCACATGTTCGCCACCATCGTGCCTCAGTAGAACTCCTAATGAGCTCTCATTGACGTAAACCAGAAGCTGATTTTTTGGAGCTGAGTTCGATTTGGTGCTCAGTAACACTCCTCGCGAGTAGTCGGTCTGAATAAATCGATACTGATTATTTGAAAAAATCATGATATTTTTTTCTGTGATGTTTTGCCACACAGGTTTGTTATAGATTTTATTTATTCAGCTTGACGTTTCGGCAGTAATGCCTTCCTCAGAGGCCTGAAATATAGTCTCGCTCAGTATTCGCTGCTTTATACGATGTCGTCCTCCACTTGCTTCATTCAATTCGTTTTGAGTGGACGGTACTGAGTCTTCATGCTACGGCAACTCACTAATGTCAGTAACGTCGCTTACCAACCTTCCACCCACTGATGACGAATGCCTGAACTGTCACACTGATGACAGCTTAAGTAGTCGTGGGTATCTTATAACTGACAGTACGATATGAACGGCATAAGATCGCTGGTGATAGATAGCTGTTCATTTTTGCCGTTCATCTTTGGCTGACGCGAGAGAATGAACGACGCTTCAGTGCTTTGCGAGTCGCAATTTTACTTTCATACGCCAAGATTGTGCACTTAACGCAAAAACGTTACCGCCGTGATCTGCTCTATGTTTCTCGAGTTGACTCATCCTGCTCCCCCGTTTCTTACTGGCTAGATGTTCGTTAACGCGGATGCTGGGTAAACGCCCTGTCTCTCCGATATAGGTTGCATGACAATCCAGACACTCGAGTTCGTAGACTACTACTCCAAACTTGGCACAATCCCCTGCTCTGCCATTAGGACACACAACGCAGTTATGTGTGATACAAGCCGTATCATAAAGACGATTGCGTACTAGCTGTCGCTTGATGTTGCTCGCAGGAATGTTTACCAGTACAACATCTCGGTTCAGCTGTGCTTGTATGAGACAACGTTTGAACTCGTTTGTGACCTTGTCAGAGATGAATGGTAAATAATAATAATAATGATATTTTTGATCACTTCCATAGGCTTTCCAGTCAAAATGGCTTTTTTCTATTCATTGACAGTACTTCGCACTTTACCGTACAACTACCGTAATTCATATTATGAGAAGACTTCGGTCGTGCGCAGTTTGGCTAAACTTACCCGAAATCTAATTTCGATCGTTTCAGCTTCTGATTCCAACGTATACGGAAGTATATGGAGGAAACGTTCGCCTGTCAGCTCAACGACCGTTGGTTCTGAAAAAATTTTTGATTCTACTAAAAAGAAAAAATGATGGCCCTTACCAATATTGCAAGTTGGTCCCTCCTTGTTTGTTTCAGCACAATCACAAGTAAAAGTGTTTTGGAAGGGTTCACAACGTCCAAAATTATGGCATGGATTGTTGGAGCATGGATTTTCAGTTGGTGAAGGTGGACAGCCAATGGAAATCCCTGAGAAGACTTTTGAAATATTTATCAAAAAAATTGTTGTAAAAAGTATATCGTCACCTGTAGCATTGGATTTCTCAAAAACTGTCGCAATTCTTGCGCTTATGCCATTGACGCGAAGGTTCTTTATGCATCCAGTGAATCCTTTACGCAATGAAATGGACCAAATCGTAGATGGATAGGATACGGTAGTATTTGGCACCCAGCCAAGAAAAATGGGATCGTCTAAAACAATACTTTGAGCATGTATATGTACGAATTGGAGTGGGTAAACAAATGCCACCTCCGCTGACTACTAGCCCTTTCTCGTTTACCTGTTACACATACCGTAACGGGACCAACAGTCCGACCAAGGCTGCGCCCAGAGTTTTCCGTGCCAGCGCCATGCTCGACAATCATTCGATACGGCACGCACGTATTCCGAGAACAGCACCACGCTGGCACTGGCACGCGGCTGGACAATGTGGCACAAGCCCGAACAGACAAGTACGGTGCTTGGAGACGGTATTTGTCCCACCCTACAGATTTCTCCTCAGGACCTACCAACGATAAGATTTGATGAAACGCCGGGTGTATTGAAGTCCGTCTTCATACTGTCTACGATAACACTTCCGGTTCTACCAACACGTTCCAGATGGACAGAATGCCAGCCATTACCCTCTGTCACTCGACGAGCTGTTGTCTGAAAATGGAGCGCTTCTGAGTGAGTTAGCTAATTTTTCTGTATTACTGTAAAACCTACTGTACCCCTAAAAGTTTCACTGAGTCATTCTCAATAGGTATATATTTGGCATGTCATATCACAAAAACAATAATTTTACAGAAATCAAACAGAGATAACAGTAGACTTATCATCAGGTTTTCAGAATACCTAAGATTAGCGCATAGCATAGTGTCGTCAGAGAATTTCCATACAGGACCATCGCGCGCGACATTCATCTGCTTGAGCAAAAAGGTGGCTTTGGGGGCGAGGGGGGGGGGTAGAAAACTTCAGCAGGCGCCACGTGTTAAGACAAGACAAGCAGATTCGCTGCTGGATACTGTGGTACGAAAGGAGCCGTTTCTTTACAAATTTGGTGCGAAAGTATAATACAGATGGAGGAATAACTACAAAGATCCTGCTTCATATTTTGCGCTCTTTTTAAACGACTTTCGAAATTTTTTCGTGTAATTATTTATTTTGATATTTTATTTCTTTTATACTTTTGTAAAAACATAATGCACTACAGAAATAGAGAGTTGTGTTCCTAAATCAATACTGAGTACATACGATAAGAGTTTGACAAAAATATTTTTGTGAATACTGGAGATCTTGGATATATTCTTAGCTTTCTCAAATCTTCTGAAATTTTATAATTTTTGCTTCAGTTTTGCTGGTGATAAATTAAGCTTTAATTTACGTTTTGTTTAGTTCTTTGTTGCTGGAAATGTTTGTTTATTGACTCAGATGTAAATCTTACTTGTAATCTGACGGCACCGCTTCCAAGATTGATAATCATATGAAGATGACCGTCGATCAGCTCGAATGCTACATAATCCGAAGCATCACTGCCAAGATTACCGTGAAAAAGTATAAGTCCATCTTTCTCAGTTGTTCGGAAATGAAAAGCTAAAAAGAAACTATAAAATTAGTAAATAAAAAATTCAAAAATCCTCAAAATTATTATAGCAGTACTTACACAAACTGCCACTGGCCAATGCACCCCATTTCGGTAGAGCAAGAAATGATAAGCTTGTTTGAAATGATAGAACATCGGGAGGTTGACTGGGGCTTTTACAGGAGAAGGATAGTTCACCTCCTAAAAAGTCGAATTTTATCAGGAACCTTATGTACATCGATAGGGGACAAAAATGGTCCATTAATATGCTAAGTGAATTAAATAAGAAACAAAGAGCAAAAAAATTCAAGTTTGTAAAGTGATTTTAACAGCCTACCTGTTTTTATGATGCTGCCACCAAATCCTTGATCGGCTAAGGTGATAAATAGTAGCCTTTGTGCGTCAGCATCGTACTTAACCTGAAAAAAAGTCATGATAGACAAACTAGCCCTATTGCCCCCCCCCCTCTCACTCCTCCCCGCTATTTATGTCACTATTCAAAGATAATGCGTCAACTTCAAAGATAATTCAAAATTTTTAGAAAAACTATTCCTAGAAATGAAATCCTATGCTGAGACTAATTCTTAGCAATTCTATTCAGACAACAACAACCTACCAACTCCTTTCTGAAACCTGACATATAAAGCTTGATTGAAACAGAGAATTTGTTACATGTTCTCATTCATTTCCTAAACTCATCATCCTTGATTTTATGTCCGATTCTTATTGAAAACGAAACAACTGGAAATAAGATCTAACAGTTTCTATTTGCAACCTTTTTTAAATCATATACTGCAGCAAAAATTCTTCAACTTCTATAATTTAAAAAGATAGGCGGAAAATTGAAAAAAAAGGAGTAGAAAATTGTTGATACAAACAAGTAAGAACTTTCTGTTTCACTCAAGTATCATAACTCAAGCTTCAGTGTGTGCTTGCTTTTCCGTCATCGCTTACAATCGAAACAGTTGGAAGTGGGTTGAAGGCATTGTGTCGCCAAAAGCCTCCGCTCAAGAGGACATCTGGCACAAAATGTGCGCCTCTACATATAGTAGTTCGGTACAGTTGTCCTCGAGAGCAAAACCTATAGGCGAAATATCGTCCTCTACCCTTACCTTGGAGATCAAAGGAATTCAATATAGCACTCTTTTAAAATCTTATCCCAAGGTCACCCAAAGAACGAAAATCTGCAAGCCCCGCCCCTTCAACAGCCTCTACAACATATGAGGGGCTGGGGGGTCGATATAACACCTGATAAATGACAAATACATGTACTCTTCGTTGTTTTCTTCGATTTTCGTTTTTCTTGGTAACTTTTTTTTACCTGCTTCATACATCCTCGAAATGCACTCTTTGTCAATCCAGGTACATGTTTATCCAAAGGGATGGCCCCAAGGTAAGCGAATGAATGACCAATCCAGTCGAGTTCCGGAGCATATTGCCTTATTTCGTCCGTCCTTCCATCTACCGTCAATGTTAACTAAAAATCATTTTTATTTCCAGTTTACCCCTAAGGAGCACACTTGGGGGTAAAGATTTAAACCTTGGCTTCACTCAAATCAATCTGGGATGTCAAACTAAAAAGAAGAGGGGTTGGGAATATAAGCGACACTCAGAAACAAAAAGAAAAACCATTCCAAACTGAGAAACGGGAGATAGAAATAGCAATCAGCCTTTTAAAAAGGCATAACCCGAAAAGAAAAGCGAGATCATCATTCCAAACATAAAAATCAAGGGAGTGCCATATACAAAGAGGAAAAATAAGCGAAAATCCACGCCGAATGCATACTGGTATAAAGGGACTGCATATATTCATAGAACTTACATGAACTGCAGATATCCTATCAGAATGCTGAAGCGGAAGCGAATAAAAAAATCAATAAAAAAAACTATGAAAGGGTGAAAAAAATCCAACATGCATAGAATTTTACATTTTGCAACATTTCTACTGTAATTGTTGATGAATTTCGACCACTTGGTATCGTGCCAAACACATTTTTTTGCTCAGTTGGCATCATACCAATGGGATATTCATCAAAGTTACTAATTAAATTACTAATTCACAAAACACCATTAGCAGGAGTAATGAATAATTTTATATTACAATACATTTTCAAGTCTTCTGAGGTTACGGTACCTATATGGTAAAGGATCATACATTAGCGTATTTGTTTTCAAGTTCAAATGTTGTTGATCAACACCATTGGCAATTGGTATGTTAAGGTGAATGAAGAAAGCTTGAAAATATCTCTGTTGGTTACGGTATGTATACTGTGGATGACACACTGGCATATCCAACGTTTCTTGAAAACATTTCTCAGACAATTCACCGGAACTTCCGCGCGACAAGCAGAATTTGCAGCAGCTTCCGCAGCGCTTTCGCAGGGTTTTCGCAGCTGAGCGGGCAGAAATGCTGCGAAAGCGCTGCGGAAGTTCCGGCCAATTGTCTGAGTTACTGGAACTACATACGGTGCGTATATGGTAGAAGGTCGTATGTTTGCATACTTTGCATATTTGCAAAAGTCGTATATTTGCACTTTTGAGCTCAGCTAGGCCAAAAATATCAAGATGTGCAGAAATTCTTAGAAGTAACTACCGCAAAATTTCCGACATAATAACTATTTTTTTGGAATTCCTGGCAAAAATCGAATTATAAGATCCTCGCACACAAATATTTCTAGTGTGTTTACCAGATTTGTTCTTCGATGTCTATAAAAGCCTTTCAACTGCCAGACCCACCATCTGCAACGATCGTTGCATGGATACAGCATGCCATGAATCGTCGTCAAACCTCGCCCGGGGCATTTCGTTAAAAATTCTGACGAGTCGAGGAGCAGAGCCAGCGAATTTTGAGCTAGCAATGAGCGCACCATCTTCCAGATATAACTGCATGTAGCTCTGAAAATATGCCAACGAAATCTCGAAAATTTGGATTTTTGGAAAAAAATCTACCTTTTCATCGCCAGCGTAAAACAACATCGAGTTGCCATGTACGGTTTTGAATGACAAAGAGAAGTTTTCCGCTTTTGTTTTTAATGGACCAGCAGAAGTTTCGGAAACATCGTAACCTACCCATTCCTGACCAGAAAAGGTAAGTTCGGCGTCCATTTTCTCTATAAAATAAACCATTCAATAATAATGTGTGTGCAAAAAAAATTTCAAAAGGTGCGGTTAAAAAATTATTCGGAAAAAGAGAAATTATGAGGTTAAGAGCACAATAAGCATTTTTTTCAAACTTGCCGCCATTTCGATTCTTGCTAAAATTTGAAAGGCCATGAAGAATAGTGTATTCTAAAAGTCCCTAATTCGAATCTGTAAGCAAAAAAGGCGTTTTCCAGAAAGTCCTGTGTTAAGTGCATTAAGCAAAAGATTTACTCTAAAATTTCCTGTTTCAAAACTGTGAGCAAATTATTTCCCAATATTCCCTGTTTCAACTCTAAGGGCAAAAAAAGGTGTTTCCCAAATTTCCTGTTGCAGATTTTTTTAGCAAAGAAGGCATTTTTCTGAAATTTCTGTTTTGAATGTATGTATGAGCAAAAGATCTCCAGAATTTCCTGTTTCTAATCTATTAGAAAAAGATGTTCTTCTAAATCGTATGGTTCCAAACAGTTGTAGACACAATAAGAAAATGCTCCAGCATTATATTAGGTCGTTCCATAAGTTCGTAGCGTTTTCATTTTCGTGCTCGTATTTTTGAGGAGCGGTTGATTTGCGGCAAGATGCTTAATTGTTTGGGAAGGCTGATTGTGCTCTTTAAAATACGCCTACTGGTTCGGTGGAAAGCTGATTCACTCGGATGTCGCAGCTTCCAAAGACGGAAATCTTTGAAGGCAAAAAGGAGCAATTTCGGCATTTGCGCATTCTTCCTTATGAAAAGAAGCGCTTTTGCATAGATTTTTGTGTCATTATGGAACATGGCGCTTGCACATCAATACGAGACAAGAAAGGATTGGATTGCTACAAAAAAATTAGGTGCTGAGCAGGGTGTCCCTAAACAAGACTTCTCGGGGGACGGGCAGGAAGTCCTGCACTGAAAACTGCTGTAGAAGTAGGGGATGGTCAACCATACCGTAAGCAATCCAACTGCACCGTCTAAATTAGGTCCTACCGCAGAAAAAGCCTAACAGGCAGATCCAGTGAGCTTTTCTGCATGACAAAACATGGCCTCATACGGCAAACGGCGTCGAAACTGTCCTGCACGACTCCACTGGAAGGTACTTCAGTACCCAAAGTACTCTCCAAATCCCGCTCTATCAGATTATTATTTGCTCCGCCCCTTGGCAAATCCCGTGAATGGTGCCCGTCTCGGTTTCAGTAAGTAGTTCGAGCGCTGGTTAGATAACTTTGCGACCCGGCGCGCTGCCATTGGAAAAATTGTGGTTGAGAAGCTAACAAGAATGTGCCAAAAGGTCGTGCGCTATAACGAGAAATATAATTTTGATTGATCTTTTACCATAAATTGATGATTTTGTTGGTTTATAAAAACGCTACGAACTTATGGAACAACCTAATAAATTAAATCACAAATGAACAAAATAGCTTCACCATTAGAAGAAAAAAGTTGAATACTGGTAGAAGAAACAATATTTTAACAACAACTTACCAACTTCGCATTGCTTCCCCTCATAATCACTCAATGAACAATCACATTTCGGTCCCTCATTCGTACTGTAACATTCTCCACCGTTTTTACAGACAAATTGCTCTCGTGCAGCAAACTGAAAGGGGAACTTTTTTCAGGTATGAAATAAAATTTGAAGAAAATATATCTTTTCGCTGAAATTTGGATTAAAAACTATACAAATGAAATTGTTGGAAAAGCTTAAGGCGCTATTCCAGTATACGATCCCAAAATTAAAAGTCTCGGATTTCGCTCAAACTCGGTATAGGGGGGGGGGTTATTCGATCCGCTGATGCCGAATAACATACAGATTCCTTGCGATAGCGCCATTTTTCGGGGGTTACGGTGGGTATACGGTAGGGGGTCAAAATCACGATTTCTGAAACTTCGTGTATGGGGGTTATTTGACATGCTGATCACGATTATGATGTTTATTAGTTACGATAGTGCCTCATTCCAAAGTTAAAGTGGGTATACATCACCAATACTACCGCTAAATCGAGATTTACGCACGTCGCAAATTTCCTTCCCCTGCTCTGCTTAGGCAAAAGCCGCCGCAGGGTGTGTCGCGCGCGCGGTGTCCTGTTCAGCTAAACTACGAGGAAACTACTAAAATGAAGACTAAACTACTAAACGATAATAAGCTCAACACGAGACAAGCTGCCCCATCCCGTGCTACCGATGCGCACGACTATAAACACAAACAAGAAATATGCTCTCGAGGCTTCACCAATACAGATCCGCCACGCGTCGCCGGATACCAGGCGCGACAGCCTCTCCGCTCCAGAAGTTCGTAATATGTAAATGTCCCAAATCTCAAAAGCTCCAAAAAAGGCGCGTCCAAAAGGATTCCCAAATCAAGCTCGAATTCCAGATTAGTAGAACTTCCGATCCGCTCGACAGCTAACGCAAAGGAGACATCAAAAGCCGGAGCTGACTACCAGGCACGAGCACAATGGAAAACATACGAAAAGATTATCGATCGAAAACGAAAGCGAACAGACGCTGCAATGAGGCGCCGCAGCTGTATATAGCCTTTTGGCTGGCAACGCGCCAAGGCGAGGAGAGGTCTAGCGGCGAGTGCGGCAAGCGTGAGAAAGTACCGTAATCGTCGCCGGATAGCGCGGCAGCAACCAGTGCTCCCGGCCTCCTGCTTCTAGGAGCGCTCGCATCGCGGAGCCACGACAATGATATTCGGCATCAGCGGGTCGAATATCCCCCTCCTTTCCTATACCGAGTTTGAGCGAGAGCCGAGATTTTTGATTTTTGGGGTCGGTATACTGGAATAGTACCAAGCTTAATTAGCATTCACCTAATTGTAACCATTTAAAGGTCATGAATAAAGAAATCAACAATCGGACGAAGTTATCACAAAAGCTGACTAGATGAAAAAGAAAGGTATTAACTTTCCTTTTGTTTGCAGAATACATGAATCCCATGAAACAGAATTTTTTTTTTTGAAAAATCATTCGATATTGACACTTTCTCATAAAATTTTGTCATCAACAAATTTTTTTATAGGTTAACTTTGAGCTTAATGAAAACGAATCGACAGTGACGAAAAATCATTTTTCCTGATATTTCAGGTTTTTTATCTGTAACTTTGTGCGTTTACAAAAAATTTGGAGCGACCATGGAATTTCAGAAAAAAAGGCGATAAAAACTACTTCCTAATTAGAAGTTGAAGTTCTGAACAACTGCAAATCTGTTCAAGAAAACGAGCAATTTTCAAAGAAATTTTGGTTCGCTGAGAGCACCGCTTTTCCTCACTTTTTCTTATCACCAACTTCCTGTTTTATGAAACCTTCATAATATGCAACAGAGACAGTTATTGATGTCTAAATCCGGTAGGAGAACGAATACCTCAGTAGCGCCACCTTTGCGGACTGCTGGTCCTTTTGCTCTATTCTTGCACATCGTGTTAGGACCAGCAGTCCGCGGGTAAAGGTGGGCCAGACTTCAATAAACATTAGATTATTTCCCGTCAAAAATTCCAAAATTTCCTAAGATAAGCTCATTTTATTCGTTTTCGCTAGAACTTCAACAAAATTATACTATCATTGCTTCGGAAAGATTTAATATGGTTTTTTTTATTGGAGAGTATTTGTCAAAAAATAAATAATTTTTAACTTACCCCTGATGGTCGGCAGTAGTCATCTTCGTTATGTCTAGACCCGTGTATATCCAGTAATTGCGGTGAAGTCACTCCTAATACATTAAAATATGTATTTTTCTAAGCGAATAATATATGAGAAGATACAAAATGATTTTCTAGACTTATTTCTTTCTCGACGGCAAAATAGTCTTCCAGATGAAAAATACGCAGAATTAGATATTTTCGTAAAAATTGCGTAAATGCTTCTTCGCTCTAATCGATTCAAAGCAAGACAATTTATAAAAAAAGCGTAAAAATCTACAAAAATCGCAATTTTGTTATTGAAAATTTCAAAAAATGCAAATTTGTTCTCAGTTTAAAGGGGCGGCAAAAGTCTGGGAGCCTAGTACTTTTTCGTACAAAACGAGAAGGGAAGTACCAGGAAACGGAAAATTTGGCGCACACATGATTCGAACCATTGCACACACTGCCCAGTTCTTGAATTGCAGAACTGCCTCTTTTGGCTTGCACGCAGCCCTACAAAATCTTGGCAAGTCCACCTGTCATGGCACGCAGGTAGTCGTAATAGAATTCGCCCCACGCCTTCACAACAACTGCTTCTTTTACCTTGGCAAATGCGCAGCGTGATAGAGCAAACTTTTGTCTACAACATCTTTCCAAGAGAATTTTTTGCATTGCTTAGGGATAAAAATATTGGATTTTCAATTAGAAGCACATGTACGTCGCATACCGGAATTTTGGCTACAATTGCGCGAACATTTAAAAATATCGTTTGTAAAGGATGGATGCCGCGGTGCCTGTAGGCCATAGGCAATAGTGAATGTTGATCTTGACCATGTACTTTGTACCGTGGCGGCTATAAATAAGGCCGCCCGGCCGTTGTTTTAGTTGCTGTAATTGTCTCTTATTTCTAGTCTTCTAATAAACTTTTCTATTACTCTCTCGTTTCCCACACATCCGCCCTCGCACTAACGACCCCGGTTAGTGCGTGACATGGGGCCGAACCAAACAGCCACTAGCCGCCTCAGTGAGGGCGTGTAACCTGCCTAACGAGAGGCAGTGTATATCCCTGGTTTAAAGAGGAGCTCGTTGTGTGACACATCGAGCCTTCTTAGAGGACCGGAGGAGGGGTCAGTTACAACGCCGTGGTCTACCTCTATAAAGAATCAGCGGCGCGTGTATCGTAGACCGACAGGTCCCTCTCGGTCAAGGTATATACTTTGTGGCTTGTATCAGTTACACCGCAAGACCCAGCCTAGAAAAGGCAGGGCATACGCGTGTGTACCGTGAGCTGATAGATCATCGAAATTGAATTTGTGCTTCAGGTGAAGCACAAATATTGGAAACAAATAAAGCTCTATCTCGCACAGATATCGAGCTTGAACTGTTTTCATCGAAGAAGCCGATGGACACCCTGCAGAAGATGCCGGAGTGTCAGAAAAGGGTTTCGCATATAAGCCCGTCGACCAATCGGTATGATAAAGGTGAAGTCGCACAGGCAAGTATTGCGGAAATCTTTGCAGCAATGGCCCTTCCAGAGGTTGAGCTCTACGGAGATCCCCAAGGAAGGAACTTCGATGATTTTGTTTGCAGATTCATAATGAAGTATGGCAGACTTGGACTGCCTAACGTCATGCTAATACACCTTTTCCTGTCCAAACTGGACGGATATCCTAAGGCAGTGGCCGAAACACTATCGCGGAGAATACGAGAGAGTACCTGCCTTCGAAGAGATTGTAGAAGCACTGCGAAACAAATTTAGCATAAATGAGTCTGCTAATCAGATGACTGCGTATGTACAACTCAAACATCTGCGGATGACAAAAGACATTACAGCTTTCTGTCTTGAGTTAGAGAGGCTTACGCGGTTAGCGTACTCAGACACCACAGACAAGCAGCTATCATGTATAAAAGCTGCAGAATTGGTTTTGCAATTGAGGGACTGGCCTGAGTACCTGCAGTTTTTCTCGGCACTGGAAAGCGCACCTAGAGAGCTGGCCTATGAAACTGTGAAAGCAATGGCATTGCAATGTGAGCGCAGCAAGGAGTTGGCCATGATGGCGCAAAAATGCGGAAAAGTAGCCATTCCGCAATTGAACGCTGAGACATCCGCCAGTGAGGACTCAACTTCAGGCGGAGGCGTAGAGTCGACTGATCCCCCAAATGCTTCCGCAGCATCTTGGAAGAGGCAAATGCGCTGCTACAACTGTAATGTACTGGGACATTATAGCCGTGACTGTAGCAAGCCAAAAGCCTCGAGATCAGCAAGGGTACCCAAAGGAGCGGCAACGAACTTTACGACATCCTTGAACAAGTGTATCTGCAACTTGGTAAGTTTGTCGCCGAGGAGAAACGAGCTAGTTGGAGAGCCGGTAATCGCAAAAGTGCGTCTGCTGGATCTAGTTCGAGAAGCTGTGCTGGACACGATCACAAGTCAGTATCATACCTTTGAAGATACTCATAGCGAGCAGAGGCAAAGGATTTGACCTGGATGCTGATGTAGAAGAGGTCCCGATAGAACAGCTGGATCCTGTTCATGATGTTACAAACAAGCGGATGAAGTTCAAGGGAGCGGTAAGGCTTTCCTTGCAACTAGAAAACGGAGTTAAGCACAGGATTTCCCTGTTTGTTAGAGCAGGAGGTGGCAGGATTGTGCTTGGAATGAACGCTCTACTGAGACTTGGATTGTCTGGTACAAACATTGGAAACGCTCTCGTCAACACGAATAAGAAAGTTGTCCAGAGATTCGTTCAGCATGATGCTCCGAGAAGACGAAGGCAACAGTCGGAAGGTGTTGTGATTTCAAAGGGAGTGCATGTTCAACCAAGAACTGAGATGTTGTCTGTTCGTGGAAAAGGGGCGTCAGGGAAAATTGCTCAGCCCTGCGGCGTTGTCGATACAGAAGGCAACGGCAGCTCTCCCAGCGTTCGAATTGAGAACAGCTTGGCAGGAGCCAAGCTCAGGAGAGCAGAGGAGGAAGGTACGCTTAAGAATGCGTGCACTGTAGAGCAACAACCTTCTGCACATTCAAACAACATGCGTGCAATGCCCACCGTAAATCGAGTGCTAGACATGCTCGATAGGGCAGTGAACAAGGGAAAAGAGGAAGCAAAGCCAGCTGAGGCTGCGAACTGGATGGACAACTTCGCAAAGACGCCGTCTACCGTGATCTGATAGAATGCCTTAAAAAGGACAAGCTAGTCGGGCGAATTAAGTTCAAGAAGGCGTCATACTTGTACAATGTTTCCGACTTTGTGTTGGACCAAGGCCGTCTGCTGTACGCAGGCAAGAGAGGGTTCAGAGAGGTTGTACCGCCGTCTCAAAGGAAGAAGCTCGTAAAGAAAGCGCAATTGAATGCGATGCATTTAGGCGCAAGGAGCTTGTTTAGAAAGCTGTCAAAGAGTTTCTTTTGGGAGACGATGAGGCGAGACGCCTGGCGCTGGACTAGAAGACGTGTGTCCCAAGTCAAAGGCAAATGCAAGGAAGGTGCAGGATCCCCTACTGATGTACCGAAGGCAGAGCTGAGAAAAGATCGAAGACCACCACAATCATGTCACCTTCGATCAGATGGAAGCTCCACTAGCCATGCATAGGGCTGTCGCCGTCGCCCTGCAGAATGCATTTGCAATCGCGAGCGCAGACAGATGCGTAGACAACCTCTCAAAAAGGTGTGTGACACGAGTACCCAAACGGAGGTGCCGTAGCACCACCAAAATGTTTTCACCAATCGCAAATCTGACCACTCTAAAGCAGAGACGAAGGACCGCGATAACCCGAGAGCAAGGACAGAAGACCCGTTGTCGAGCCGAATGAATTGTGGCCGTGAAACGTATCATCCCCCACCCGTACAACCCGTCGACCGAGCCGTGGACGTGAACCGCCATTCCCCACGCTGCACAAGGAGCCGACCAAGTCGCGAACGTGGAACCCACTATCCCCCACTGGTACAAGCCGTCGACCGCGCCGTGAACATGAATGACGTCTCTCCCACGCCGACGGAAGGAGTGTTATAAGAGTCGGGACGACTCTTGCCGACGGATGGGCATGTAAAGGATGGATGCCGCGGTGCCTGTAGGCCATAGGCAATATTGAATGTTGATCTTGACCATGTACTTTGTACCGTGGCGGCTATAAATAAGGCCGCCCGGCCGTTGTTTTAGTTGCTGTAATTGTCTCTTATTTCTAGTCTTCTAATAAACTTTTCCATTACTCTCGTTCCCCACCTGGACATCCGCCCTCGCACTAACGACCCCGGTTAGTGCGTGACACGTTTAAAAAGTATAAAAAACTAGCTGGCTTGGCACAGGGGTGATCAGCATGCTCGATTACACCCCTCTGCCAAATTCCAGCCCCCTAGCTCAAATTTTACAAAAAATCGATAAAATCGATATCGATCGATGACGAAAAGTAGCCTATGACACCCGCCGGGGCCCGGAGTGTATGTGTGCCAAGTTTGGTCCCGATCGGTTCGGAAATGGAATTTTCTATTCGGAACATACGTACACACAGACAGACAGACAAACAGACATTCAGCTTTATATATAAGATGTACCATGGCCGAATTTCAATAGATTCTAATTTAAAAAACGTGTGCAATAAATACAGTCTTGGCTCCAGTGCCTGTTGACCATTGTATAGCTTTTAAATTTGTTCTGAAGACGGATTTTCACTGGCACGTAGGTAACATTCGCAAACTTTTATTTTCCGTTCATGCAAGAACAGCTCCTGGCAAAAGCAAAACTAGGATACAATAGCGCGAAGCCTTTTCTATGTTGTGTGCAGCGAATTTTTGTAAAATATTAACAGCATCTTTAGTTCCAGCAAAGATTGTAAATACCAAAAATTCTAGTTTTTTCGCTTTGCAAAAGTACTAGTTTGGTATTTTCATTCTTACAAAAACATATGGCAGCCATTTTCAGCCAAATAAAGTGTATCTGTAGAGGATGACCGCAGCATCATGTGGCATAAAATTGAAATTAAAACCATCAGTATCTTTGTAATTACAGTACTGCAAAGTTAGGCTTCCAGACTTTCGCCGCACTCTGTACTTGAAAAAATTAAAGGTTCATTTTAGGCTAGCGAAATTGAACTATTTCATTCGATTTTCAGAAAACTGATACGCTTGGAAATTTTCATTGATGCATTACTCCGACTATGAGTATTGCAACTATTTTGAATAATGAAAAATTGAATTTTGACCTACCTTGAGGATACAATCGATAGACGAGATTTCGTATATTACCAGCTAGATGTCGTGCATATCTTCTCAATGGAGAGCTCATTACTGATAAGAGATGAGTGTCCTGAAAAGAAAATTTTCATATATTATACAAAATAGCTGCTTCCTCTCCCCCTCTCCCCTGCAATTTTTTGCAATAATTCCTGGGGTTATTTCTGCAAATCTGCGTGAATCTCGCGCGAACGTCTAGTGTCAAATTCCCCGGTGTACCATCGTTCAAAGGCATATTGTGGCATTTCCGCTCATAAGACCTCACATGGAGAAGGAAAATCAAAGATTTCCTTCTGAGGAAGCACTTTTTTCCCGGACGAATTCTTAATAGGGTCGAGGTCTAGGAGCATCACGAAACGACAGGAGACAGCGGGTCCCCAAGGGAATTTGCAAAAAAGTGGCCCTTGTATAGCGGGATTTATAGGAGACAGAGATGATATAAACATAAGATAAAACAGCAATTTTCAAAATTATGACAATAAAAAAATCGAAACCATCAAGCCAAATTTGAAAAAAAAGCACAGATTCAAGTATTTTGGTGGCCAAAATCCTTATCAATTTAGTTTATGGAAAAAAGGCCTAGAAAGTTCTTACAAAGGCTAAAGTCTATTTAAATAGAAATGAAAAATTGCAAAAATATAATGTTTAGAGGTCTTACCTGAGGCACTCCACCGACGAACACATCTGAATTTTTGAGGATGTTCCCAAAAATAAAACTTCTTTGATTGAGAATTTTAAACACCAGCGAGGCATCAAGTTCCATTTTGACATTTTCCCAAGACTGAAACAGCAAATCTGAGATCAGATTATCATCGGATTGTGAGTAAAAAATTACATTTTTCCCTAATGCTGCATATTTCCTAATGATTTTGAAATTTTTTCGAATTTTTACAGAATGGAGAGCATTATTTTAATAGATAATTCTTGTACGTATGTAGATATGACGATGAGTGTAGCGAAATTTGGAGTATATATGACAAGAATGGGCGTGGCTGGAGGCGGAGTCAACCGGATAAATAAATATTTCTTTCAAAAAAAAAACAGAAAACTTTTTGGGGAGATGGGTAAAACGCCTAAAATACAACAAAAAAGGAAAATATGGAATCGGTGTAAGTGGAATGCGAGTTCGCTCATGCAATCCTCAAATATATGAGTACTATAGTTTATGCTCCATTTTTTCATTTAAGAGTTAAGTAATTCTCTCCTTGTAAGCCTTGCAAAATGCTTACGATTCATTCAGCAAAGAAGAAAGAACAAAAAGAAAAATCAAAAAAGAAAAAAGAGCTGCGCTCACCTGGAAGAGTGCCAACGAATGCCAGCGATCGTCATCTACTCGAATCTCTTCTATTCGTATTGTATTTACTGCCCTACGAGCACCAAAATCGTTTGCATTGTCGCCCAACCTAAAAAAAGGTTTAATCTGAAAAATCAGTTACAGTTCACTATTAATCTAATATGTAGGGAATCGTAACGCCGATTCAAAAATCGTCAGATTGCAGGGAACCGAGCGGGTCCCGAAGCGAGCGCGCCATCTAGCACCTTTGAGATTTGGGTTCACTGATAAGATGAAAGTATCCTAGGTAGTGAACAGGAACTTGTATAGGGTTGACAGTGGTAAGTAAATGATTTGTAGATCAAAAAGTTGAAACAGAGAGATTACCAAAAGGATTTTGTTCTAGAGGTTGAATAGCTTTCATTAAATAATACAAAGATAACACCATAACATAATTTTGCATTTTTTGCGATCCTTTTCTGTATAACACTTTCCTTTTCTTCTTTTTTTTTCAACAGATGCTGAAATGTGCTTTACTAGAAGGTCCCTCAGATTAATCCATGAAATTTTTCAATCTTATGCACCGCTCAGCTGTAAAACGAATGCACACTTTTTTGTATAAATGTTAAGAAGTAAAGCTACCAGTAGCCAGCTTACGACTTACATTTATTGCAAATGCCTGCTTTTACTAGTTCCCGTTAATGGATAGGGCAAAAACGCAGTTGGATTTCTTTGGTAGCTGTATTTCTTAAGGAAAACACATTTTGAGAATAACTGGTTTTTTTGCAAATGAAACAACATTCTTTCGAACTTCTATAGCTAACATATAGTTTTAAGTTTACTTTAAAATAGTGTAAAAATATTAATAATCTAACTTTTTTCCAGAAAAGTGACATCAACCACGCCCCAATCTATGCTGCTTATTCTGCGTTATGGTGCTCTCTACACGTTTCGAGAACCCATAACTGAAACATGCACAGTACAATCCCTTAGAAAAGCGGATTGAAACCGGAACATTTTCTCGAAGCATGAAAAACAAAGTCCAAATGTATTTAAAAATTTAAGAATTATTGCAGAAATATCCGTGTTTTAAGCTGAAGAACAGCCAAATAAGATTACAATAATCGATATATGCTATTCTTTAGCAAAAAAAAACGGAAAAGAGCAAAAATATCATGAACAAAAAGCATTTGCCGACGTGAAAGGAACGTCAAATTTAGCATATAATCACTACTCACGATTTTCACGATTGCAGAAAAAAGAGGGAAAGAAATTTCTATATCGAAAAAAAAAGAATTTTGATACACTCCACTAAAGCATTAGTATGAAAAAATCAAAATAACTCCAAATCAAGTGAAAGTGACTGATCGCAGACATGTGGTTTACTATAAACTATAAAACTCATAATCAATCCCATTTTCCCGATTATTAAGGAAGACGTTATGGTAATAGATTTAGGCCGATTCACACAACCGTAATGCGGCCTTCCGCACAGGACAGCCGTTGCGCGAGGGAAAATCTGTTGTGGCATGACCCGCTCAAACAAATCTTCCAGGGTAATACCCATGTGATACTATCGTGCAGAAAAGCCCTACGATCGGATCAATTCTTGCATCTCTGATATATTGAAGACATGAAACCGGAAACTTTTTAGAAAATCCAGATTATTGAAAGAAAACCGGAAAATACGCAAAATTAGCAAAAAAAATTTTAAAAATTTTCATACCGAAAATCTAGTTGAACTCGTCCATCCGATATACTAATTGAGTAGAAATTTCCATTCACGCCTCCATCATCTGTATATAATAAAAGACCATGCGATTGCTTGGTCTTAAATTCGAATGATAGCGAATTTTCGAACGAATGTGCCCATTTCGGATATCTAAAAAGAGTAAAGATTTTTTACAAAAATACTCCCCCCCCCCCCTCTCTCTCGCCCCCTAAATCAAGCAGGTGTGATCTCACCTTGCATATGAATTTGGCGCTCCAGATAGAATAATGGCAGCTATAGACTGTAGATCAAATATGGTGATTAAGATCGTTAACAAACCGCCAGAATCGTGATAGATCATCATCCGTAGGGGAACATGAACATAAATTCTGAAACGACGTATCGGTATAACATCATAGAAAATGGGGAAAACAAAGAAAAAGAGCGAAGTTGAGTTGCTGAGAAAGCTGGGAAAATGGGTGGGAAAAAAAGATAATGTGAGAGAACAACACGTGACTGCAAACCAGCAACAGACAAAAAAGCTAGCTCCAAAAAAAGGAGCAAATACGAATTTCCAGAAAGTTTGAAACGGGAAATCTTGCTAGATAGAAAAAAATATATCAATTCCCCCAGTTTTTTTGTGAATTGATTGGAAAGTGTGAAACAGTATTTCATACGCATCAAAACATAGTAATGATATTGCCCCCTTTTATGGACTGGAAATGTCCAGAATTGAACAAGAAGAGAACACCTGAAGTTCCAATCTGCGCCTTGAAAATTGCAGCTTGAAACAGGAAATTCTAGAAAAAAACAGGAAAACACCTAAAATTCCGAGATTTTAGGAGGTTCACTTGAAAGAAGTTGAATTGAGAAATTTCAGAAGAAAATATAAAAATTAAATTTTTCAGTAACTTGGTTCGTTTGTGAATAAGCCCTTCATCCTAGTAAAAATGAGCATGGCAGATTTAAGAAACATGTGGGTATTTAATTTTGAAAACTTTTTCAACACACTGAATGATCGGTAGAGTAAGTGGCAGTTATGACAAAAAAATTATTTTGGGAGGGGCAGGTATGCAATACGCTGGGAAATGATTTAATTTCTGCCGTTTACTTATATTTGGAGAAAACCAGACATCCGCAAGAAGTGTAACATAAGGTCCGCATTAGCTATTCATAAAATCTGTCAAAGACATGACAAAGAAAAAACCTGCACATTTTCCTTGCAGACTCCTGAACGTCTATGAATTTGAGATGTGAATGAAAGAGAAACGTAATTTTATAAAAGTGGAAGAACATAACGACTCTTTGAAAAGAATAATATTCAAATGGATTGCCTGAAGTATGTAGGAATTACATCCGTCACAATGACTGTTCAATTCTAGTAAGTGCACAAAAATGTTTGAAAAAATCTTAATTCGCGACCACTACCCCAGACAATTTTTCTACCTAGAACTATCTTCTGTGGTAAAAAAAATATCGGAAAGGTTTTCTTAAAAGAAGTGAAGACAAAACGAGGTACGGAGATGACCAAAACAATATTTATGCGCATGGAGAGATTATCTCAAAGAGCCACGAAATCATCTTTTATTCGCATACCATGAAATGAAAATTTGAGATTTCAGAAGTATTGGGAAAATATGAATGTTGAATTTTTAAGCAAAGGCTAGAAACGGACCGATTAATGTCTTATTGCGGATTTATGAAAGAACCATTTTCTGTTTGTGCGCTGTCTACTGTTAATTCTAAGGGAACTGAAGGCTCTATGGGGTTCATAGGGCACAAACCTAACCACACATGAACAACAGATGAAGTACTAGTAACAGGGCTCAGCGTAGCTGAGTGGGTATCTTTTTGTGGCCGAAAAGACATAAAAATTACGATATTTTTTTAGTAGACGTTTCGTTTTTTAGGGTTTTTTAAGTTTAGTGTTTCGGTCAAAAGGGGCTTTGTAAGAAATTTTCAAGATCAAAAGACTTCGTTTTAAATTTTCCCTGGTACCAGCTCGTGCCGAGCCCTGACTAGTATTATGATTTAAAGAATAAAAAGGAAAAGAATGATCAAAGGCATGAAACATTTTTCACTGTAATATTTATAGAGTGCGAAAACAACTCATAACGTAGCGCGGTTGGGATGAAGGAAATGAAAAAATCATCAGAAATCTTTCAATAGAAAACGAATAACAAAATCCGTACTCAAAATAGAACTGGAAAAAACATACATTCGGGAGAAGTTGTGATTGATAGAAATGGAATAAATTGAAATTTTCGCCTAGAAAAAGAGGTAAGAGAATATCATGAGATGCAACTCGCACTAACATGACTTCAAGAAAAGGAAGAAACAATAACATCCCACCATTCTGCTAATGAAACTGCTAATAATAAATATGTCGCAACAAAAAAGACGCCGAGTCTGCGAGGGTTGAGAAAATGCGATTTATTCATCCATTTGTGAGCTATTTCAAATGCTTTGAAAGCTCATTTTGGAGGGAAAATTCTGACAATAAGATCTCAAATTTATTGCAAAGAAGAAATTCGAGAAATTCGTTTTTTACAAAGTACAGGTGGGAGAAGTAGGAGGGAGCATTTACGTCAAAAATTTCTTAATCAAAAGTACGAACTACTTGGCTAGGAAGTTGTAAATGAAGGAGAAGCAAAGGCATGAAAATGTTGATGCATGAGCGAGGGAACAAAAGAGGAATGGTGTTGTTGTAAAATTTATTGTTAACAGAATTAAAGTGTTCAGAAAACTTGAAAATAGCAATAAATAAGTTTTCTTTTTATTTGCAATGAGAAAGTTGAACTGATATGATAATACTGAGCTGATAGGGACGTAAATGCATAAGATCAAAATCAAAATCAGCATTAGCCTATAATTCTATTGATGAAACCCGGTTAATTAAAGCTAATAATAAATACGTCGCGAGAGGGAGGACACACGATCTTTGAGAGTATAAAAAATAGATTTATGTATTTTGTAATAAGATTGTCAGAATCACGTCGCGACGGGAAAATCTGCTATTCGATTTACGAAGAAAACTGGGGATGTAAGGGAAACTTTTAATTGAAAGTGAAAATAGCTTGAAAGTTCTTAAATGTAGAAAAGGCATGGAAATGCACATGGATGAAATTGGAAAAAAGAAAAGCTCGAAAAAAAGAAGATTTTGATTAATTGAATGAAAATCCGTTCCACTTGAAAGGAAGAAATAAATAGGAAAAAAATGATTAAAATGGTGCTGTAGAGACAAATAATCGTAGCGAATATAGCAACAGGAATTAGCGGGAAAATCTGGAAAAAATACGTTTTTTTACGAAAGGAATGGGGGGGGGGGGGGAAGAGCACGTCAAAATTTTAATCAAAAGTGCAAATAAGTTGAAAGTTGTTTTGAAAGAAGAATGAGAGGCATGGAACCTGATACAAGTGAATGAGGGGGGAAAGATTTATCGAGAAAAAAGCAGGATTCTGGCGAACAATTTTGAATTTTGATTTAATCAATAAATTTTTGATGATAGGGTAACAATTTGAGCAAACCTTACCACCCCAAGACAGCTAACAGACTCGTTATTTGTAGGAAAAAGTAATGGATTTGTTACGCTATTTTTATTTGATTGATTTCTTATTAGCACTTCTAAGCGCACAATGAATGAAATTTAAAAAAATACCGTTAATATTGGTGACTCCAAAAAAACAAATCAAAATCTTCAATTGCAATGAAAACGACAATTTTCCGATTAATTATGGAGATGATATGGACGTAAATGCAGAAAATAGAAGCAAACAAAATAAAACCCGGGCGCATTTGCGCTTTTAGAAACAGCGGGGGAGAGGGGGGAGAAATTTGCGAGAGGGAGAGCGGATAGCTGCTTATTCAGTTGACAAAGTTAAGCAAATCAAGCTTGCAACTACATCACACATTCCAGAGGGACGACGGGGTTGAAAAAACTCTGAGGAGAAGCCAGTGCCTATTCGGAATATTCACTAGATGCCAGCTGTAGTCTCTTGCTTAGTGCTTTTGTCATATATGGATAGATGAGGGGGCAAAACTTTCAAAGAAAATGAGATTCTGGACGCTTCTCTAGTTATTTATACCATAAACTCTTTCCCGCCTAATTTAGGGCGAAATTGGGCGGGTAAAAGCCCCTAAGTATCAGTTGTACTCTCACAAAACTTGTCTTCATCTCAACACTGAACTTATTTTCTACTCAAAATTTGATGGGTTCAGCCTGGAAGGGTAGAACTTCAGCTGTCCTTGCGCCAAACAAAAGGAACCTCATAAAATGTAATATAAACAACCTTCCCCCCCCCTTACTGCCCCGTATAATAAGTCCTATAACACGATGTCCCCTAGCGGCTTTGGCCATCCAGCTCCATCCATCCTCAAACAAGTGTTAGAACATCAATCATGCGTGAGAAATGATCGAAAAATACGATGCTCCAAGAGACAATGCCCCGACCCGGTGGAGGGAGCGGGGTGTGAAAATAGGAGGGTGAAGCTATTTTGTAGTTTTACGTATGTTTATTCCAGGAAGTGAAGCTTGTTCATGTAATGGAAAAGACAATCATGCATGTGAAAAACGGTTAGACGAAGGCGGGATATGGGGGTGAGGGGAAGGAGTTCTAAAAATTTCATAAAAAACTCAAATATTATGGCTATATGAATTCAATAAAATACAATCGATTGGAAATCAATAAAAGACGTAAATGTAATAGATTCGGTAATGATAGAAGTGAAAATAAATAGACGCGAGATAAATCTTCCAATTAAGAGAAGCAGGACTATCTTTCGTAGGTCACGATTTTCATCTCCCCCCTCCTTTCCTTTCACTCTTCTGCCTTTCACCAGCCCCCAACTATGGAAAATTTCGAATGAAGGGGGCGTGGCGTGAGACAAGCCCTACAGAATTTCTTTTGCTCATGCTTCCAACTTTTTGGGCTCGAGGGCTTGGAATTTTGCAAAAGCGGGCGTGGCGGCAGCCGTGCTCGGAAAAATTTTTTACATAGCTAATTTGATTTTCTGAGAAGTATACAAAATATCTAGGTAATTATTTGAAGGTATTGTAGTTGTATAGACGGTAACATATGAGAACGAAGTCTTAATTTGCGAAGAAATGGTGTTTTTGAATATTAGGCAATTTTTTGAAAAGAATTCCTTCGGTTTTACGCGTTTTAAAGTTATTTTGTCTTCACAAGATATGGGAGTGTAGCGAAAGAAACAACGAAATAGCAGCAGAAGATAATTGGAGGAATCTCAAAAGAAACAACAAGAGCACTTCTAGCCTACAATCGATGCAGAACATTCGAAAAAGTAAGTACCTTACAAAAAGCTAATTTGTTCCTAAATCTAGCTTTCATACCACAACACCATCA